GTGAAACTATTTCTTTGAGTGGTTTGTAATTTTTTAGACCATGAGCTTCTCTCATCATCCAACACACCCCTTCCTCACCCCCACTTCTGTAGGAGTTGCCTGTCTTATTCATGGCAGAAATGTTGCTGTAGTTTTGCATTTCCATCTGCATCTCACCTGTTCCAGACCACTTTGCATGTTAATTTCTTAGCTTGACAGTTCCTGCATCTCATGAATCATGTAAATTCTGGTTCCACATGTGTGTTTTGGAAGCATGGATCTCACTTTCTCATGGCAGAATTTTCTTTCTTTCTTTCTTTCTTTTTTTTTTTGAGGAAGATTAGCCCTGAGCTAACATCTGCTGCCAATCCTCCTCTTTTTTGCTGAGGAAGACTGGCCCTGAGCTAACATCCTTGCCCATCTTCCTCTGCTTTATATGTGGGATGCCTACCACAGCATGGCATGCCAAGGGGTGCCATGTCCACACCCGGGACCCAAATCGGTGAACCCCAGGCCACCCAAGTGTCATGTGTGTGCTGATTTTATAATTTTTTATAAAATCACCACCAGGATGGCCCCAAGAATTTTCTTGTTATATTTCCATTCAGAGAGCTGCTTTATGGTTTGCCTAGGCTGGTGGTGCTTCTTGCACTGAAAGGACTGTTCTTCGAGGCTCCTGGCTTTAGGTAGGATTGCCCAGTTCCAGTCCCTACCTTGTAAGGACTCAACGCGTCATGTCTTAGGCTGACTTCCCCAGAATCTGACTCAGAGGTGAGAATTCGTGTTAAAGTAATTTATTAATAAGTGTTCCCAGGAAAAACAGGACTTTTGAGAAATAGGATTGGGAAAGGAATTTGGCCAAGCAAGGACATGATATCAGGTTTAAGTCCCACCCAGGAAACTTTGGCTCAGGTCTGAAGTGGTCACACCGTAGAGCCCTCCTCATCAGAAGGAAGGGAGCCGGAATGCCAGTCCCTTCTAATATCAGTCATTAGTTAAAGGCTTCCCCATGAGGAATGAACATTTTCAGAAGGTTCCTGCTTTACATGAGCTCTCAAAGGGGTTCTAGCAGCCTGAGGCCAACTCCTTGAGGAAGAGAGGCAGGTGCTGACTGTTAGTAAAAGTACGCAGGGTGGTTGGGTGCACAAGTTGGTAGAGAATCCAAAGGAATGTGGGTGTCCACTTCAGTGGCTTCTATCATGGTGTCAGACTTGAGTCTAACATATATCACTTAAACAGAAAAAATTATCACAGTTCGCTGTGTGTAAAGTGATGACAGGTGGAGAAAAGAAAGAATTTGGATTCTCTCAGAAGTTACATGCTAGAAAGTCCTAGAAAGAATTGTGGAACATGGCAACTTGGGCTCTAGGTGATGTGTTTATTCTCTACAGTTTGCATAATTTAAGGCTGATTTGAAATTAGGTGCTAGTCTTATGAAATTGCAAACTGAGATTTTTTGTGCAAAAATTGTCTCTTTGAATTTTGCATTTCATTTTACTGGTAACATTTTGAGGACAATAAAAAGGTGTTTTACCAAATATTGTTTACTGTGGAGAATATAGTAAACTTCTTAAGAGTAAAAAGACTATATCTTAGAGGGTAGCAGATTTACATTCCCCCTATTGTCTATTCCTTGACTTCCTAAGATGCCATAGCCGTCTGAGAGACCTGGGCAAGTCGGAGAAGTAAAACAATGCACAAATGAAATTCAGAGTCTTATTATTGCAGGATGACTCGTCTCTCACAGAGTTTGATCTGATTTGTGAGGATGTGCAGGAAGAGATGCTTTGCGTGTGTGTGTGTGTGTGTGTGTGCGTGTGCGTGTATTTTAAACAGATTTGAATGAATCATATGGTCCCTGATAAATTTGTCTCTGGAGGCTTAGGGCTTAAAACAAAGGATGATTTTCTTCTTAGAAGCTCTTTTAGATATGTACCTCTCTCCAACACAGAATAACAGAATGGAGAATGAAAGAAATAAAATAAATAAAATGAACAGACAAGCATATAATGGATATGAACTCTGGAGTCGGACCTGGGAGGGCTTCTTGCTGTGCAGTTCTAATTCTGCCCCCCTGCTCAAGCTCCAGAACTCTCTTTAAGCTGCAGGTTCCTCATCTATAAAATGTGTGTCACAATCATACTCACTTCCTGGAGTGTGGTGAGGACCAGATGACATAATGATGAATTGTGTCTACCACAATGCCAACCCCTGGCTGGAGCTCAATAAATGCTGGTCACTGTGATTATTATTGCATCGTTGGTGTCAGACTAAAATAAGGGCCTACAGAGTGCGTATTTCTGTTGGCCAGCTACTTTAAAGTCATTGACTTTGCATCGATATAGTATTATAATAGTAAATTTGAATAATATAGCCTGCCTGCCTCTTTCCCTCCTCTCTCTGTTCCTCTCCCTCTGTCCCTCCTGCCTCTCTTCCTTCCTCCTCCAGGACTGTGCGTTAGATTCAGAGTAATATTAAAGTATTACCCACTCTCGATCATTTGTATTGTTAAATCGGAAAATATAATCTTTCTAAAATCCCGATGAAACTACACAGAAATTCACAGAAGCCTCTTCAGGTTAAACATCAGTTTCAGCTTGCCTTCTTTGAGCAAACACTGCACCTGCATCTTAAAACAAAACTACTTCCTCTCTTTCAAGAATAGCAAAGGCAAATCATTTCCTAATTCCAGACACTATGGCGCTCTGTGAACTTAGTTTATTAATTCACCATAAACCTAAGCTAAGGCACATACTTAGGTCATCATTAGAAAAATGAATCATAGATCTAAAGCAAACAAGCCAACAAACACACAAGTAAAACCAGGGGATTTGCCTTACCTAGCAAAATTGCTGATTTTCTGAGATAAACTGGACTAACAACATGTTGCTCTCTCAAATCTTGGCCAAGTCATGCAAGGTTGAGTTCATAATTCTAGCTGATTTTATTACGTAAAAGTTAACAGTAAATAGGTGAGTGCTGGCCTGTCAGTTTAGCATGTGTTTTAAAATCATGTTCCTAAAGAATGCTTGAAAGTCACATAAACACTGGACATTTTTCCTTGCAAATGGACGTTTGCTCATGATTTTACTATGAAAAATAGACACCAGAGACTTCTTGCCAAAATTAAAATTTATCTGTGATACTATTTTCCTAGACAAATCATAGTATTAAAATTTCTCTTTCTTTTTTTTTTTGGTATGCTTTTTGGTGAAGAAGATTGGCCCTGAGCTAAAATCTGTTGCCAATCTTTTTTTTTTTTTTTTCTCCTCAAAGCTCCAGTACATAGTTGTATATCATAGTTGTAAGTCCTTCTAGCTGTTCTGTGTGGAATGCCACCACTGCATGGCTTGATGAGCAGTGTGTAGGTCCATGCCCAGGATCTGAACCAGCGAACCCTGGGCTGCCATAGCGGAGCAAGAGAACTTAATTGCTATGCCACCAAGCCAGCCCCACTATCTCTTTCTTTTTTTTGTTTTTATTCAAAGTTAAAATCTTTTTTTTATCCTTTTCTTTGGTGAGGAAAATTGGCCCTGAGCTAACATCTGTTGCCAATCTTCTTCCTTTTCTTTTTTCTCCCCAAAGCCCTGGTACACAGTTGTATATCTCAGTTGTAAGTCTTCTATGTGAGATGCCAGCACAACATGGCTTGATGAGTGGTGTGTAGGTCTGCACCCAGGATCTGAACAGGTGAACCCTGGGTTGCCAAAGTGGAGCACACAAATTTAACCACTACTCCACCGGACCGGCCCCTCTATCCTTCTTAAACACCCACCCCCCCACCCCAAGAAAGAGAGATTTTGTTTGCAAGAAACAATATAAAACTGATAAAGAAGGTCAAAGTGCTCTTTGAATCAGACAGTACTGTTCGAGAACTACTGAATCTTATCTGACCTGGAAAAGCCCTACCTGTGATATCTGCAGGGTTCAGATACTTCTGCAATATTATCGGAAAAATACCCAAACCCATAATTTACCATAAATCAGTAAATCTGGACTCGTGGTGATCTGGAATCATTCCTGACTCTACGTCTTCTGCAATATGGAGATATTGATCTCATGGGCTTTTGTGAGGATTAAATAAGAAGATATGTTTAAAGTTCTTACACATTGTTTGCAATTGAATAGGTACTCAATTATGAGATCCCCTTTTCCCTTGACTTTGAGTCCAAGACAATGTTGGAAATTTCAACAAAATGACATACAGTCATGAATAATAGAAGGCAGAAATTGCCCAAGTGCTTAATGTCTGGTGCAGACAATAAAAGCAATGACGACGCAGAGGTCCCCGGGGGTGCCACAGTCAGTTTATAATGAGACTTGACCCGCTTTTTGGTGGAGCTGATGTTTGGAGGGGGGTATTTATAATAACTTTAATGTTATCTTATAGAACATTATGTCTTTGAAAAATGGTAATTTGTAAATAATGAATATGCTAAATCTTGTGGTACCAGAATACTTGGCATTTTAGTGTACTCTGAGTTTATTGTGTTGCTAAGGTGTCAAACAACATAGTTTATTTATTATATCCATAGGTCAGAAATTTTTAGCTAAGGTTCATTTATCTTTAGTGCATGTAGAATTTAGCAGACTGTGACGTGGTAAATGTGAGTTAGCAGTTTTACTAAAGATGATTTCTAATTTAGACCCATTGATTCTCAGAGCAAGCTAGTTGCGAATCTTTTACAAGTTGATACTGCACTCTTAATTAAGATTTTAAGTGAACACAGTTTATCAAGTTATACCAAACTGTTTCCCTGTAGGTGTTCTGGGAAAGCTCTGATAGAAAAACCGCAGTTCTCAGTGGTAAGCTTTTTTATAAAAAATTTTTTTCATGTGAATTACCTACTTGATCTCCTGTGGCAGTGTTTGAAGCTTATCCTGAATTGAAGTTGGTGGTGTAAAATGAAATCCAGGTGGGAGTCATGAGAGAGGCATGCTCAAACTTTGAATTAGCCTAGAGAGTCATTTGATCTGTACATTGATTGGAAATTTACCTAATTTGGAGGCCTCATGGCAGAGTGGGAAAGGGGTTAGTTCAGGAGGTGAGGAGAGATGGATCCAAATACTGGTTCACCAGTCAGGGCTGTGATCCTTGCGCAAATTACTTAAATCCTTAAGCCTTAGATTTATTATCATCAGTAAGAAACAAAGACAACAATCACAACGAAAAACCAACTAAACTCCTTTCATAGGATTGTTATAAAGATGCATTGATTTATTTAACTGGTGGTTACTGGGTGCCTCCTAAGTGTCAGGCACAATGCTGGAGACGAGCCACTTGACCGGGAACAAAATCAAGCAGGACCTCTGCACACGATCAGAAGCATACAAAACGGCGTGTAGAATTCCTTCAGGGGGAGGTACCACAAGGGAGAAAAATAGGCTCTTCGGCTAGATTGACTTGAAATGGATTTAGAGCTTCAATATGAAGGATGAGTAGGGAATGCGAAATGAAGAGAAATCCCAGTAGAGAGAGAACAGTGTGTGCAAAGACCAGATGGAGGTGTGACTGGAAGAAGACCAATCAGGCTACAGAAGAAAGAGTGAGGAGCAACTGCTACCAGCTGGGACTGGAAACAGAAAAAGGACTTGGTAGGCAGTGTTAAGGATTTGGGTCTATCACGCAATGAAAAGTCACTGACAGGTTTTAAGCTGTGGGATAACATTATCAGATTTTGTGGCTAGGGTAGAAGAACATAAAGAGCAAGAAAACAGGAGGCTATTATGTAGTTTGGTGAGCGGATGATTGCTTTGACTAAGGTGTGGGATGTGGAGAGAAATGAAATAATTGGAGAAATACTCATGATAGATTGAATGTAGGGGCAGCTGAGACGGAGATGTCAAGCCTGAGTCCTCCGTTATTGGGTTGTCTAAATGGCTGGATGGTGCTGTCTTTTGAGAAAGGGAACCACGGCAGGAGAGAGAGCATAACTCAGTTTTTAATATAGTATATTTGAAATGTTTTTGAGACATCCAAATGCAGCTGTCAAGAAGAGTTTGCATTTTAGAGAAGAGAAATCTTGTCATTTTGTTATTCCTGCTACTTATGTCTTCAACTCACTTTCTTTTGGATCTTTCCTTACTAGCCTTTTAAACATTCCCAAGACTTTTCCAATTTGTAAACACAAGGAACCCTAAGAAAAGCTCTCCCATATCACATTGCTCTTAGCCATTGCCCCACCTCCTAATCAAATTTCTGGAAATCATTGTATTCACACTTTCCATTTTCTTAGCTCTTAGTTACGCTTCTACTTACCAGTCTTTTTTCTGATCTCATCTTGGACAAACTACTTTGCCAAAGGCACAGTTCTCATCTTATTTGACTTGTCAGAACATTCAGCGCCTGCTACTTCCTTGAAACTCAAATCAATATGTATGACTGCTTACTTAACTTGAGGTCTTAAAGGCATCTCATCTCAATTAATCTGAACACAAACTCTTGATCTTCTGCCTCCAAACTCGAGGGATCTTCAGTGAGTGACTCACATTTCACTCAATTGCACAAGTCGGAATCCTGGGGTTTATTCTTGACATTTTTTATTATGTTTACCACCCTCAACTTGTATTCAATCATTGCAGACTTGTCATTTCTACTTTCTAAATACTTCTCTTCATTTTTATTGCCGTCACCCTAGTCCAAAGTTCTCAGCTTTGGGACTATTGACATTAGAAGACTGGGTAATTTTTTGTTGTGAGGCTGTCCTGCACATGGTAGGATGTTGAACCGTGTCCTTGGCCTTTACCCACCGTATGCCAGTAGTACCACTATCCCGACTTGCGACAACCACAGTGTCTCCAGATGTACTCTTGGGGGGTGTGTGTAAAACTGCCTTCAGTTGAGAACCATTGTTTTAGTCCAAGCCACCATCATTTCTTCCTTCAACTTTTATGGGCTAACTAATCTCCTAGCCTCCATATGTGATTCCTTTGAACTCAATCTTCATCTGTTGCTATAGTGATTTAAAAAAAAAAACCCACAAATCTGTTTATGTCATCCCTCTGCTCCCAAAACTTTAATGTCTTAGCATTGCTCTTAGAACAAAAGCCAAATCCTAATGTGACCTATAAGGCATGACGTGATCTGCCTCTACCCATTCTTCAGCCTCATTTCACATTCTGTCCTCATCCTCTGTCTTCTCTAGCAATATTAACCATCTTTCAGTTTACTTTCTCTGCCTCAGATCCTTTGCACTTGCTATTCTCATTCTGAAACATTCTTTGTTCCTCATTCTCTTATCTCCTCATTACCAATTTGACTTTGTTAATGCTTATTTGTATTTCATATTCCAGCATGTGTTGTTTTTTCTGAGGGGGGCCTTTCAAAACTCCCTCTGTTACATGCTATTAACAGCCTGTAGGTCTTCTTTACAACATGTATTTATATACGTAATTGAGTAATTGACTATTTAATGTCTGTATTCACCATTATGAGGATAGGAACCATCTTCTTTTGGTTCAACACTATGTCCACAGTGCCAGTAGAGTGTTTTTCCCATAGTTAGCACTCAAACAGTAGTTAAATGAATGAGTTAGTAAATAATTAAATATGAATATGAGGTATGTAGATGAGATATCAAATTGCTCTGATAGAAATGTTTTATCGCTGTAATTCAATTTAGAAAATTGGAGGCACTATACTAGTCTCTGCTCTACTCATAGTAAATTGCTGTCTACTTTATGCTATGAAAAATAAAACCTATTTTAACATGCTTTGGGTTTTTAGGTTTAGGTGTGCTATATAATATTTCTTCCTTTTGTTTCTTGTGTTTTTTGAGGAAGATTAGCCTTAAGCTAACATCTGCTGCCAATCCTCCCCCTTTTGCTGAGGAAGACTGGCCTTGAGCTAACACCCGTGCCCATCTTCCTCTACTTTATATGTGGGACCCTGCCACAGCATGGCTTGACAAGTGGTGCATAGATCCGCATGTGGGATCCGAACCAGTGAACCCTGGGCTGCCAAAGCAGAATGGGCGAACATAACCGCTGTGCCACAGGGCTGGTCCCTCCTCCTCTTTTTTCTGTTAGCCTCTAGATGGGGAACTTTAGCCTGGATGTGGAGGGATATATCAAATTGGATCATGAAATAAAAAGTTGGTGCAGTGAACTATGAGATAGTTGCAGGGGCTTGCCCACAAATTCCATGTATTGCTATTCATATACTGAAACAAAATTACCTCCCCTCTGGGAGTTGGCTGAGAAGAATTTAGTATTTAATGAAAGGTTGGCTCAATAAGTCATATTTTCCAAATCAGAAAATAAAACTTTAAGAGGAAGAAACTTGGACAACTATTCCATGAGGTTATAGACATTAGGACTTGGCTTGAAGATACCTTAAATTACCTAGGCCTGTTGGGAGTATGGTTAGTGAAAAGGGATATAATATGGAACTTGAATAATTTTATGTATTGAAATTTCTCCAGTTATTAATATAATGATCAACACTCACCCATCTACTAAGCTATTTAGGCAAAGTCTAAACGTATTATTTTCCCTTTTTCATGAAAGTGGAGAGAGAGCCATAGATAAAGAGAAAGCAGATGTTTAATTTTTGTAACAAACAGCCATAATCTGGGGTTGGTTAGCTTTATGACTATCCATTTTAAGGAAACATATTTTCCAGTAAAGCTGTCAATGCTCTTGGAAATGTTTTGGGAGCTCTAAGGGGTATTTTGTCATAACCTTATAATGTCTAGTTGCTGCAAGCTTCTGTCTTCACCACAATCTGGGTGTGATTGGGCCAACCATACCTTTCATATGGACATACAGTTGAGTGTAGAAGCACTGTTCCTCCAATAACTAACTAATCTTTTCATTTTTCTCTGCGATGTGGGAAGCGGAATGCTTTGATGTGATAGCTCAATGAATAAATGTCAATGTACTGCCTTATTCCTTTCTTTTTTCCATTGTAAAAATAATGTCACAATATTAAAGAAAGTTTGCCTCCCAAATAATATCTATGCTCTTACTATTTTAATAAAACTAATTTCCTGTTTATATTTAAAATTCTACTCCATATTTAGATGCATAATTGAACACCATTTTATAATGGCTGCATTCTGCCTCATCAAACCATTGTGTAACAGTTTAATTAATTATTCCTCATTTATTTAACTTCTGGATTACCTTGAATTTGTATGTTTATATCTTTTGCCCAATTTGGGAAGTTTTTGTCCATTATCTCTTTAAATAATTTTCTGCACCAAACTCTTCCTCTCCTTCTAGGCCTCTGATGACATAAATATTACCATTTTTGATATTGTGTCATAGGTCCTTGAGATTCTGTTCACTAAAAAAAATTTTTTTGTAATTCTCTGATGTTCAGATAACACAACTTCTATTGATCCATCTTCAAGTTTACTGATTCCTTGCTCTGTCATTGGCATTCTCTGTTAAGTCCATCTAGTGAGTTTCTATTTTGATTGTTGTATATTTTAGTTCTAAAATTTCCATTTCTTTTTTTTACCAGCTTATCTTTAAGATTTTTGCAAACTTAAAGGATAATGAACAAATTATACACCCAAATTTATTCAAATTCTACTCCATTTGTGTCTATAAAATTTGTGGATTTAAATAAAATATAAACTTTAATAAGTCATTGTTGGATGTAGAGGTTAATTTTGTGTCTAATATAGAAGACTTTTCCTACAATGCGATATATTTGGAAACATAGGTAAGAGTCCTGAAAGTTGGTGGTGAGAAATGATCAGAGTCGTCACTTGGATTTTATTTATCAATAGCCCATTGAGAGGTATTTTTGGGCTCCTTTGGCTATGAAAACAAATTGAAGAAAGAATAAAAGGTGAAAATTTGCCAAAATTTTATGGCTAGTGGATAAACTATATTTTCCAAAATGTGACAGTTACGATTTGTTAGTCTCTGATTGTCCCTGAGTGAATTTTAAAAAATAATATCCTTTAAATTTAAATCCCACAGGGCCTTTTTCTTTTTCTTTCTTTTGGTCAGTTAATGATTCATATCTTTTGGTGTTAATGGTTTTGGAAAAGTCATTTTATTTATCATCCATTTAAGGTGTACTCTAATGTTCATAATGAAAAAGGGTAGTGTTAATTCTATATGTCTATTAAAACTGGTAAGTTAATTTTTAAGAATAGTTAAACCCAATATTTATTGTACATTACTATGTACCACTTTTCTAAAGACTCCATCTCTTTTGTATATATTGAGGATTAAATATGATAAATATGTTAATTGAATGAACTAGATACTCTTATTACCCCCATTTAAAAAATCAGGACTGTGAGGGGCTGGCCCCGTGGCCGAGTGGTTAAGTTCGCGCGCTCCGCTGCAGGCGGCCCAGTGTTTCGTCGGTTCGAATCCTGGGCGCGGACATGGCACTGCTCGTCAGACCACGCTGAGGCAGCGTCCCACATGCCACAACTAGAGGAACCCACAACGAAGAATACACAACTATGTACCGGGGGGCTTTGGGGAGAAAAAGGAAAAAATAAAATCTTAAAAAAAAAAAAAAAAAATCAGGACTGTGAGGCACAAAGAACTTATTTAGTTGCCCTGGATCACCTAATGGGAGCAGCGAGAAGCCAGTATTCAACTTAGTTATTTTGACTGCAGCCCCTTATTTTCCTCTTTCTTCTCCTAATACTGTTCAGGACCTACTGTATATATGCCAGCCACAGCGAGTACATAAATGAAAAGAAGCAATGCTTTTCTAAACGTCTATTTGGGAAGGAGATCTGCAGGCAAAGAAACGGAATACAGTGTAACAATTATAGTGAAGGTATGTCCATGTGTACTGTAGGAGGAAAGACAAGAAAGTGCATCATTGGCTTGAGGAAGTTAGATCAGGCTTGGCAAAGAAGGTAACGAATAGTTGTCTCTTAAGTGTTGAAAGGGGGTAAGTGCATTTCCACCAAAACACAGATACGGGTATGGTGTGTTCATGGAATGTGCCTGTAATTCTTCATAAAATCAGAGCAATTATGTCTGCATATACGTGAAGTATGAGTATCGTATTGGTTAAGGTTCAGTTGCAGAAAACAGAAACCATCTTGAGCTAGTTTAAATAGAAAGAGATTTAACACAGGGAATTGGGTGCTTTCAATATGTTAGAAGAGCTGGAGTATAGGCTCTGGGCTAAGCTTCCAGGAGTGAGTCCCCAAAAAACACCATAGAACTGGTCTGCCAAGGGGGTTGAATCCTGTGCCAAGACCAACAAGTGTGGGACATTTCCTTCAGCTTGGGAATCAGAAAGCTGCTGCCTAACTCTTGGTGCCAGCACACACGGCCTCAGTAGCCATCCATGGGCCAGAAAGCCACCGCCAGAACCGTTGGTTCTAAAATCACACCTCCTGTCATCCCCACCAACAGAATGGGTTCAGACTCTTCTTAACAGCCATGGAGCGAGGGACCAGTCACTATAACTTCTGCTCTGTGTTTGTAGAAATCTAAGCACATCTACCCCGAGGTTTGCCAGCAGAAATGCCTGCAGCAGCGGAAGAGAGGCCTCTGTCTCCTTCTGCTACCCAAGTCTAAGCCACCTCTGGGTCTCGATCACATTTGGAATAGCTGCAGGGGAGTCTGAGAAGCGTCATTTTAGCTTCCTGACTTTGCATTTTAAGAAGGTACACTAAAAAGGGTTAAAAGCTTATGGAGGGAGTTATTCTGCAGCAACTACCGCATAGCAGTATCTGCTAGATTGGTGGTAGAAAAATAAACGGAAATACACACCCAGAATTCTTCATCTACGAGTACTGATATCTTCAGTGTAATCACCTTCACATATTATGTACTGTTTTTTTAAATGCTGTCTCTTTTTTTAGACTCCTATCTTGGATTTGTTTCCAGGGCTTGTTTTCTTCATTGAATAGTATTGATTGTGATGAATGTTTGCCTATTGAAAGTGAATTTGAATACTGGAAAGACTATTAAATCATGATCAATAAGGTAGGTTGCCATGCTGAGTAATACTGTTTAGATTGAAAACATTCACCAAAAAATACACTTTCAGCCAGAGCATTGTCATCGTGAAGAAAACAGTCCTTGTGTGGTCGTTCAGGCCAAGTGCCTCACCGCTGACTCCCTGCAACGCTTCAATCATTAACTCAGGTATTTGTTGAACATTTAACGTGTGCAATGGCTCTTCAATGTGCTACGGCATTTAGAAGTTATATTTATGAGTTTTATAGCTCTTTTACACTGTAGCTTCCTGTAGATTATCTTATTTAATAGGCATAACCAGTTTATTTTTCAAAAAGAAACTGAGACCCAGAGACTTTATTGTTAAGAATGCCAACCAAAATAAATAGCTCCATTGGATATTTTATTTTGTGAAATTAATTCAGTGTGAACAATACCATTCATATTCCTAAACTGACACAATTTTGTTTTTACTTGTGATTTTTGACATATATGGTTTCTGGAGTGTGTTCGACATTAGAAAATTCTGATGAGGATCTTGAGTGTTGACCAGCTTCTTTGGAAGGATTTTTATGAAAGGGATACCTTACATTTTCATTTTCCTCAAAATACATTGAACAACGTATTTCTCTCATTCAAGATTATAAGAATCCGCTTTATAAAGCACACAGTAAACATTGTTGTTGTTTTCGAGATGCACCCACACATTTAATTATGGCAAAGCTGTTGCTGCATATATAATTTTAATTGCTAAAGATGATAAGGATTTCGTATTCCATTGAGTCCACCTCTATTCTTTTGTCTTTTTGCACTACTCTTACTCACTGTTGTTATTTACCTATTTTACTAAAAGGGACAAAACATGGATGAGTATTTTTTTTACATTTTGATAAATTCTAACTTTTTCTAAGCAAATATTTAAAAACTGAATTTACCTGCATACTGTCCTATTTTTGATCATTTCTAACTGATTTTTTCACTATTAGCAATTTTTTAAACTTAAAAGTTGATATAATTCTAGTTAGGCAATTTCTGAACCTTTCTTTTCTTGGTATAAAGTACCAAAAAAAAAAAAAGTTGAAGAAAATTCTCTCTCTCTCTTCGTCTTTCCATCCATCTGTCCATGCATCCATCCATCTTAGTTATCCAGTGACCCAATTTTCTTTATTTGCTTTTGTGGTGATTTGCAGCATCTAGACGTTATTAAAGGACAAATGGTTATAAAATAGACTATAGAAATCTATTATCTAAATGGAGACCAATAAAAGCAAAACAAGAAAACCAAGGGCCTTATGCCACTGATATGCGCTGGATAAAGGAAAACGCATGCTTTGCTTCTGTTAACAAATGTGAGGATAAGTCAAACAAGATTAATGGAGATGATGAAACTGACTTGACATACTTTTTCTCACTTGGTTAATACAGATAATGACCAGGATCCAACTAATGTTCTGAAAAAGTTCATGTGCTCTTTTTAGGTGCCCATGGACAGCCAGAAAGTAGTAATATGATGGAAAAGTTAACTTTTTTTGTGCTATTCTCACTTAGGAATAGAAATCTGAGCTATGGTCAACGTGCAGTGACTTTCTCGTGGTTTATGTAATGACTTGCTCAGATGTCTGCCCAGGGTCTCTGTAGTTCTACACATCTAGAGTCCTACAGCCTAATTCTAGAGTTTATGAGTAGCTCAGTCCCCAGGGAGGAGGGATTTAAAATGCCTTAGCTCAGCATTTTAACGCTAGCAAACACTATGTGCCAGACACTAATTAGTGCTAAACACTAATACATGTATACTAACCTAATCCTCACGACAGATCCATGAAGTTGGTGCCATTATCCACACTTTATAAGTGTGGAAACTGAAGCACAGGTAGTGTAAGTAACTTTCCCACAATCTCACAGCAACTAAGTCACAGAGCCAGGATTCAAAGCCAGGGATGCTGCATTCAAAGTCTGAGCCCTTAACAGCTGTCCCCTATGCCTCGTCTATATTATACAGCTTCTGCATATGTCAACTGTCTTGGTCTTAACTTTTGACCTGATTTTAGTAACTACATTCTTTCCTGGTTACTACCAACAGTATTGATAATAATTTGCTACTGTTTTATTTTTAAAAATAAGAAACTTGCATATAAGAGAAACTTTATAATTTAAGTACATAGATCAGTTGGTCCTCATAACAATCTTATGGAAAGGTCAAGGTGAGTATTGTTATCTCATTCTACACAGAGGAGAAACTGTGACTCAGAGAGATTGTGCTTCATTCAAGGTCATGCAAACAGAAAACTGTAAAGCCACGACTTGAACCCAGGTCTGCTTCTTCCAAGTACAGGGCTCATTGGCCACCCCGTGTCTACTCCCTACAGTATGGCTTTCTTAGTGCAAGTTTTCTTTCTGAGGACCTACCTCTTCCTTCAGTCAACTGACACAGAGACTGCTCATTCCTTCCCTGGGTAACTGCCTTTACCCATGGCAAGCCTATCCACAATCACCAACTCAGAACTCAGCGTAACATTCATGCAGCAGATGTGCCCAGACAGCAGGAGGGGGCCATTTTGTTGTACTTTCTACTGTTTATCCTTACAATCTTGGCCACTCTATCTTCTTCCTGCTTAATTCTGGGCTCATTCTGGGCCAAAGTCTTCCCATGGTTTGCGAAGGATTTGATTGATTAGTTATAATTAGTCTTATTGTTACTTAGAGGAGGCCCTCAACCTTCTTTTGTTGCAAAACTAATAGATACCAGAGGCCTATAATAGTATTTAAGGCATGCCAGGTTGCTACTGGGCTTCATGATCCATTAACATTTTCCTGATAAGGACTTTCTTCATTATAAGTTTGTTCCTAGTAAATCAGATTCACTTTGTTGTCCTTAAAAAGTCAACATTTAACAATTAACATTTATTCCAGAGCAAAATATAACAATGATGAACATCATCAGATTTAAAAAATTCATTTAACCTCTACAACATGACAGTTAACTTCTAGTGGATGAAGTTTCTTGTGTCTTGGTAAAATCACCCAGCTGCTTAAGCTGACTGAACAATTTGTGTGGCAATGCAAGAGACAATAAATGACTGTAAACTGTTGCATAAAACAAAGAAGCCAAGCAAAGAATGAGCACAAAGGTGTGGCTGGCCACTGTGTGCGGAAAAGCCCATTTGAAACTCCAACAGACATTTTGGCTATGAAGACCTCAGCGTGTTATCTTGAGTACATAAAATACCGTAAGTTTTGGTGGCCAACTTTGTGAGTCAACTCTTTTCACAACAGATTTAACTTAGTTTAGCATCTCTCTGCAGCATTTTGGTTAGACCACACAAGACAAGTTGTGATAATTTGTCAACAACTCAGAAAGAACCACACTCAGGGAACACTGAGAAAAGATAAAATTAAACCATGAATAAAAGTGATTTCTAGAGTTTACAGAGTTATGAGTTGTTAACCGTGAATATAGATCTGATGGCATCCTACTGACACTTAACCCTCTTCATAGTGCTTCAGAGCACTTGTCCTGATATCTGAACTTGTTTTAGCAATTGTAATATTTGCTTCCAGGCTACACTCTGGAAATGATGAATCAAACACCATGCCTTTCATCTGGTGTGTCATATTCAATCAGAAGACACTGTGAAAATATATCTTACGGTATAATGTTTGTGAACACTAAGGAATAGAAGTCAGGGCATAGATACGTAGCCAGACATCAACTTCACCCCAGCTACTGTAATTCTTCATGTATGTGTTCGTGTCTTACATACAAGGAACCATTTTTTTTTTCATATCATACACTTATGTTCCATTGTGTAACATGTTATTTCTTTCTATCATTTGCAAATCCAGTCTTTTGACTGACCTGTCTCTTTGTCCTCAGGTTGGTTTTCTAGTTGTTTATAATGCTCTTCTTTCATCTCTAGTTTTTATTAAAGTCCTTTCTATTTTCTTTCTTTTCTCTCTATTTTTCTTTAGCCCTTCTCTGTGTCAATCAGTATCTGACAAAATTCAATAAATGTCCCCAAAGGAATTCGTGATATTCTTAAATATATTTAATTTTCTGGAAATTAATTCAATGGTCAACTCTTTATTTATATATGATTATCTTAGACAACTTTTTGTTTTTAACTTCCCCAGTTGACTGCAAATTTCCCTTTGCCCAAAATCCTGTAGGGAGACTGCCCTCTTATCTGGTTGCTGACTTTCTTTGTGGCTGAGATTACCTGTGAGATTGTCCACTAACCCTTAGTAGAAAACTAGTGATTTTTAGTACTCAACATAGCTCATAATTCTTCAAAGGACTTCAGTTTACCTCATTTGAAATTTGAAAATTACTCCAATTTACCTCTTGAAACATTACCATTCTATAACCATTGTGGAATAGCCCCAAGACCGTGAGTTCAACAATTCCAGTGTATTATAGACTGAGTCTCTCTATGATTTCATGCCTTCCAACAATCAGTTGCTAAGATACTCTTTGTCAAACAATCCAGCAATTCAATAGGAAAAAAAATAGTCTTGTTTTTGCCAACTCATTCCAGTCAAAACAGGTGAACTGTAATAAAAATACAAAAGATTATGATTCAATGAACTCTTAACCCCTAAAATAATGTGGAAAATTGTGATGTGTGCATATATGCATTTTCTGGAGAGGATTTATTACTATTATTAGATTCCCATTACCTTGCACAGTGCCTGACACATTGTTGAATCTGACTAAATATTAGGTGAGTGAATTATGAATGAAAAAAGAATTCTAAAAATGGTCACCTCATTATTAAAAAAAAGTTTAGGAATAATCATAGTCATGTTTTTGGGGTTTTTTTCCTTTGAATTTTGCCTCTCTAGAAATCTCCTCAGTTTATTCTTCTTGGTATTTCCAGGAGGTAGGTGTTGTAAGTTCTGAATTTATCTTTCATGTTTCTTGACTTTTCTTTCACACTTTTCTTCATTCCTTTATGATATGTTCTAGAAAATTCATCACCTCAGGCTTCCAGCTCACCAGTTCAACTTCAGCAGTGTCTTTTCTACTATTCATTTTATTTAAAGGTTTTAGTTTTAATTTCAATACCATTTTCCCCATGATATTTGATTTATTATTTGTCCTATTAGCCTGACTTTATTCTTTAGGCTTGATAGACTCTTTTGGCTTATCCCTCTTCCAGAGATCCCTCATGGCTTCTGGTTTACTGAGTTTCCTTTTCTTGGTTTTGAGTGTAGTTATGGATTTAAAAAGACTTTTTTTCTATAATTTTTAGACACCCAGGGAGGTCAGAGCTGAGGGAGATGAGACATTATGTGTGTCTATCCTGTTTAAGTAGAAGTTCTTACATTTTTTTCCTAAGTTCATTTGAAGTCAATGATCACTCATTTGAAAGAATAGTGTTTCTCCTATATTGCTAAATTATATAGCAATGTTGTTAGGTCAAAAATAAAGAAAAAAATCTAATGAATAAAAATGAAATCACCCACAATCCTACTATTAAAAATTTACTACCATTACTGTTTTGTATAAATACTTTTCCATTTTTCAAGACTTTCCTACTTCCTGCTCCTTCACCACTGGGGATAGAGGGCGAGGGGTGTGGAGAGTATCCAGGAACTGAGTAAAATACTCTTAAGGTTAAATTAATAAGGGAAGAGATTGTAATGTGGTTTGAAAGGAGACAACATTCTCTTTAGCAAAGTAAGACCTAAAACTTATGCTGTTAGAGTTGGGGGTGGGGAGAGGATGATGCAAAAGGAAATTAACTTTCTCAGTGTAAGATGTCTTTGATGATTATTGTTGTTGCTGCTGTTATAATTATCTTTTTCAGGCAAACAAGAAAAGAATGTCAGAAATCTTTGGCATAAGACAACCCTCAATGCTCTGTTTTCTCTCGTCTACTCGGAGGGTGGAAACTCCCCTTCCTCTATCCCACACTAGAATAAGAGGAAGAATAGTGATATAAGAATAGCTATCTGAAAAGTTTCACATAATTAGCACAAGAATCCAGGAAAATTTATAAGAAACAGAAAGACTTGGAGCTTGCTAACCACTAGGTCAATGAACACAGCTCCATCAGAAAGAGAGGAGATGGGG